TGCAGCTCCGGCCGCGATCCTGGGGGCTGCGCGGCGCTCGCGGCGCAGCGCAGAGAGAGATTATGGCTTCAGTGTTTTTAAAAATCCTACCGAAATAGATCTCCCTGCGCTCGCAGACACACACACGTGTATTTTGGGGAGCTTCAAAGTTCAGAGTTTGTGCGAGTTGGAAGCGGCGTCGCTCGGCCTCCGCTCGCGCAGCACCCCTTCCGTTTAACCCGTTCCTCGCGGCCGCGCGCTCGCAGCTCCGCGCCCCGTCGACATCTTGAATATATAATAGGCTCGCACAACTCCGAGGGCTCCACTGTGCGTGTGATTTTCATTACGAGGGGGAAAAAATAAATTCCTAGCAACGCACGTTGTACCAGACGGTTTCCTTTATTTCAGGAAAGTTATGGGTATTTTTTCCCCACTATGTTTTGGAAGAGAATTTCCTTGTTTCTTTTTGCCTTTTTGATGGGATGTGTGTCTGGCAACGGCTCCCACTCTCCAGCCCCGCACTGCCCGACAAAACCAATGTCACTGTAGGTCTGAGTGGACTTGCGTATCAGTCAACAGCTTCGCAAGAATTCAAATGCCTCCCCCAGCCCGCCGGTCCCATGCCTCCAGGGCTGTCGCAGGACTTCGTGCGAGCCCCCAGCCTGATGCTAATCTCACAGGGCGATCATTATTTGTGCGATTACCTGTCACCCACTTGAAGGAAAGAGGACCTGTCCAAGTCCCCTGTTTATTTTCAACATGTAACAATATGCTGGATACGTAGTAGGAACTCTGAAATGGACGGATTTCTTTCACACAATAACACACTCAATCTGAAATTTCTCCTAATATCCCCATTAACTTTTTTCTTAAATTTTTCAAAATGTTTCTTCATAGTGGCAACCTCCGCCTATGTCATTTTTGCCTGCCATTGAAAACTTTAAGGCCATTTTGCATACATTTGCAAAGACGGGGTACTCTTAGGATATTCATTTTAATGTCATAGAGTTACTCTGCTCTGTTCTTTTTAAGACTTCAGAACATTTAACATTTATATTGACTCATTTGTCCTAGATTTTAGCTGAAAGTTCTGTTATGTAACTCCCTGAAGGAGAAAGAAGCAGCCATATTCGCGTTGTCTTCTAGGAAAATGAGATATAGAACAAGTACCTACCACTGATGAAGAATCCTTCCACCCCCCTCTCCCCCCAGGGAATTTTCTTTAGTCTGTACCATAAATCATGTGACTGAAATACGTTTACTACCACACGAATTCATTAACTTTACAATTTTGATACCTTGTTAGCAACAAGATGCATTTATGTTCAGCTTTATCCACCACATAGAACCATATCTCTATCTCTTATTCGCAAAAACGTATCCTGTATTCCAATACTCATAAGTGGTGCTATTTTGTATCATTGTACAACGCAAGTCATAGACCTAAGTTCAAGTTCGACTCTTTCTCTGGCTCACTTTCCATTCTGTGTAAAACGGAGAAAAGAGCTGAAAATCGCATTCAGAGCAACGGGACTGTAGAAATATATTTTTAGAGGCGATGCAAATTTAAATAAGAAGGTATGTCCAATAGATTTCATTACGAAAAATGAAAAAAGGGAGAATGCAACTAATCCATGGGAGATATGGCACATCGATTTCTTTGTGTCATCAACTTTTCAGATAATAAAGGGAAATTTATTCATGAGTGACCGTGTTTCTCACTTTTACAAATATTACTGTATTATTTTTTCAGTATTATTGCAGTGTGTTCTTTGGAGGCTTCACATTAACTTCTAGGTCTTAATTCTATGTTGCTCTCAAATGAGTTCTGAGTTTCTCTTTGCCTCTTACACCCATCCTGAAGGAAGCCTTTTGTGGTGCCTCTTGTCACCACATGAGGTCTCCATAAATCCTGACCTGGATTAACCAGAAGTGGAATCCACTAGAGTCAACATGCAAGTCTCTTATTACGTTGAGAAGAAAAAAAAAAAAAAAATCCAGTTTCTAAAATAACTTAGAAAACAATTTAGACACTTAAAATTTCATGCAGTTATTTTTTTAAAAATACAAAGCAAATATTTTCTCAATTTACATTTTCTTTGGAGAAAAAGAGTTTGTGAAATTGGGATATATGAGGGGAAAGGAAAAGAGAAGAGAATTGATGAAAAAGGTAAATATGCTTAAAAACAAAGGTAAGTTACAGTAATGGCATTGACTAAGTTTATGAAACTTACAGAATAATTCTGTCAATTTGCTTTCATGCTATGATCTTGCATTGCTGCAAAAGACGT